GTAAGAGGAACAATATTAAACCGAATTGGCGATATACATTATGAAATTCGCTTTGAAGGGAGAATCATAAAAAGACACATCAACCAGATCCGCCGTGGCAACAAGATCATTAAAAGATGCCCAGTTGAAAAGAAACGATCAGGAAACAGTAATTCCTATCAACATAGAGACACATTCGAGGAGGAGACTAGTCCCGAAGGTAACTTACCTGTTCTAAGCTACACACACCCCAGTCCCGAAAATAATTTACCTGCACAAAGCTACACACCCCCAAATATCGAAGGGAAGTCGAGCACTTCAAGTGACACACCCCCAAGCTAACGATGGCCATCAGTAGAACGAGAAGAAGCTGGAAATAATAGTTCAGTGCCAAGCGTAAGAAAACCGTTCCCAACGAATGGTTCTGAAACTTCCTCTTCGCAACTAATAGGGTTCGAAACACCACCATCTGTTACAACGCGAGCTGGGGATTCCACTTCGGGAGAAGTACCACACCAGAATGCTGTAAAGCCACCACCAGCACCCCGACGGTCCTCTAGGCCGCGCAAACAAAGAGTCTTGTTCTCTCCGTAAACTTTCCGAGAAGGAGGGGAAAGGTGTTATGTTTGAATTACCAAATACTCAAATATGATTACTTAGTTATCTTAATTTTATCATTTTGCAACACTGTTGCTAATCTTGTATTAAATTGTCAAATCATCCATTTTCATAAAATTATAAAGTAATATAATTTCTGCTTGAATTGAATAAAGATAATTATATAAACGAAGTAAATACAACACCGACTATCACCCAATTTACAGATGATTTTTTTTCATGTTTGCCCAGACGTCTGTTTTCATGTTTGTCGATGATTGTTGGTAAGGGGGGTAAAGAAGAATGGGGGGAAAGAAAACAAACATGATTTGGAATTTTCATGATTCTCAGATTCCTCTTTACACTTCTTCCTACTGTTGATATTATACTCATGTAAAAAAATAAATACGTGTTTTTTTTTAATAAAAACATTAAAATTTGCGTTAAAAAATACTATTTATTATTTTTAATCAAACTAAATTGTTTTTATGTTAAAAATTTAATATTACTTTTATTACGAATAAGTAATTAAAAAGGATTATACAATTAAACAGCAAAAACATGAATAGTTGCATGTAAAAAATCACCATATAAATGTTCATGATTTATTGGAAGATTCTCAAAAGAGAATTGGAAAAAATAGACGTCTGAAAAGTCTTCATGTAAATTGCGCCTATTAGTCGACTTTCTATCTGCTTCGCCCATTGTTCCATTTGCGATTGTTGACAAGAATAATAAACTAAAGATTACGCCTTGCGCATGATATACAGTTAGATGACGTAGTTGTTCCCTTTTGAAGGTTTCCAAATATCTTTCATGTGTAGAAATTAGAATTTCTGGAAAAACTCTTATGTATATTATAATAGTTGGTAACCTTTATTTATTTTACTTTTACTAATTTAATTTACTTTGACAGTTTAGAAAAAAATATTACACCAGTTCTTGAAAAATATAAGGAATTTCGCCTTAAATTTATTCAAATATAACATTAAAAAATATAAGATGATAAATAAGTGTAGCGGAGTTCGGTAAAAAGGATCCAGAACATAGAAAAATGAAAACAAAATTTAGAGGAAAAAACATAAACATGGAGTGAACGGTGGACAAATGTAATCAGTGTTTAAAAGACTAGACTACATAAGCAGCGGGGGAAAATGCTAGGACTTCGATTCGTGGGCCTTCTAAAGACATATTTACATATTATAAAGGTTTCTCAAAAGGATTCATGCACATTTATCAAAGGATTATGTATCAAATTTTGCATGAAAATTTGCTTTATACAATTTTTATAAGTTCTAGTGTATAATTATTAATGTAATTTCCTATAAGGCCATTTTACAAATCGACTGAAAATCTTGTAAAAAGCCTTTAACGGAAGACCATCTACAGGCCTTTTTAAGCATGTCTAATTAAAACGATTTTGCAATGCGGCTGATTGTACTTGTGTCTATAGAAAAATGTCCTTAGTAAGGCCCCTATACTGAACCTTTTTCCCGTTGTGATATGTTTATTTGTTAGTTTATTTTTTTTTTTTTTGTCGAAGTTTTTTATTTTATTCTATTGCTACTTCAATAATTAGGTAGCAATAGAACGATCAACTAGTAGCAAATATTTCTATTGCTACTTATCAAAAGTAGCAATAAAATTATTTATATTTTTGGGCTACTACTCCATTTGTAGTTTATGTTTTTTTAGAACTATTTCTACTGTTACTGTTTTATTACTACTGCTATATTTTGAGATTTACTTTTTTATAAGTAGCAAAAGTTTTACAAACTTATGATTATAAAACAAAACAAATGCTACTGCTACAACATCACACAAAAAGTGAAGTGAGTGAAAAATTGTGGAAAAAGTTTTACATTGTGCCCTTTTTTCTATATATTTTTCTCACTTTTTAGTATTAAAATAATATTGAATATTTTTTTTTTTTAAATTGCAATAAATAAATAAATTTATGAATAGAATGGTTACTATCCATAAATTATAAAAATAATAAATTGTCCCACTGTTATATTTATAGCTAAAAATTATTAACCAATATTAACACAGATTGTGTGACGTCAGAGCTCCTATATGCGCAGAAAGTTTTAACTATGTTCGCCTGACGACGTAATCTTTATCCCTACATGAAATGTATGACCCACAGTGGTATAGGAAAAAAAAAAGAGGGAAATAATTCGGTAACTTCTAAACGGTTAATCCGATTTTAATGAAATTTGGTATGCACAAAGAGGAGGTGTTGTCGAGTTTAGGTTTTGAATTTGGACCTTATAGGCCTACCAGGGGCCCGGCGGGGGGTCCTCAAATTAGGACACCTCGGCTATGTTAAATTTTTAAAACGATCCTATTTCTTCATTTGAGTTCCGATTTAAAAAAAAATTTCGTATATAGAATCTCCTCATCGAGCACTATAAAAAATGTCGCAGTAAATTATCTCTTATAGTTTAGGAGATATTCGCATTTGAAAATTAAAATTTTAAAATTTTTACCGTCCTTACTTTAGTTTTTTTGATAATAGCGGGTCCAAATATTCCCGATTTTCGCCATTTTTTTTATTCGCTTAAAAACAAGTTTATATATCAAGCAGTGAAAGAATTATGTAAAAATCATGACTGAGTCCAAAGTTATAGGCATTTTAATTTAAAAAATTAAAAAAAGGCGATTTTTTGTCATTTTTTTGGGAAAAAAGTATCTTTTTCTTTTTAAGTTATCTAAAAAGTTTCTAAGAAGATGTATATAGAATTTATACTTTTTGGAAAGCTGACTTTACATAAAATACGATAAATGAAACAAAACCTAAAAATTTTTGATACCGAGGGGACCAGGTCCATCCAAAAAAACCCTATTTTTTATGGAAAATTCAATTTTGAGCAAAAATTCTCAAATCGCATAGTCGATATCAAATTATAGTGACCTGTTTTATATGACCCAATATGTTCTTAATCATTTTGTAACGGGTTTCGATAACCCCGCCCCTGGTATGGATATAATAGGCAAAAAACCAAAAAATCCCATTTTTGGGATTTTTTAAAACTTTTTTGGGAATTCCGGGATTTCTAATAAGAAAATTCGAACTTTTTATTTAATTTTAGATTTTGAGTAAAAAAATCTACCTAACTGTAAAATTTCATCAAAAAATATTCATAAATAAAATTTTTATTGCAATTTGAAAAATTTGTATCTTCGCAAAAACTGAATAAAAAACATTTTTTAATTTTTTTTTAAAAAAAGTATTCCGCGAATTTTTTAATTTTCAAAAATTATATACAGTTTTGAAAAATAGACAAAATTACCTTTCCATTGATATATAACATGCCTACCTAATGTTTTTTAAGTGACAAATTAATTAGGGAAAACTCAACATCTTTTAGAAAATTTACCTAGCACTATTATTTTCATCAATATATGTAACAAATTTAAGAGTTAATTTTATGGATGAAAATAATAGAAAATAATAATTGGAGAACTTGGTTGATTTCCTTTGTTTAGTTTTAACGTATACGTTTTTACACTGACAGGCAGATATAATAATATTTTTTGTGCATGTGCGATCCTAAAGTAGGCCTTAACTTTGGATCGCAAGCAGTGTTGCCAATTTGGTTATTATTAACTAAAATTGGTTATTTTTATTTTGCATGTGTACATGTGAACTATTTTTTCGTTTTGGTTATATTTTGCAAACAATTGAACTAAATGATGTTTGCTTTTATTCTATTTGTAAAAAGTGAAAAATAAAAAGACTTTTTTGATCTTTAGTAATAAACCAACTATGTAAATAAATATATGTACATACATATATTTTATTATAACCACCGTAAAAGAAGATGGGGGTTCTGTCATACCGTTTATAAATATTACTCATATACCCACAAAAGTAAGACGATCCAACTATGTCCGTCCGGCTGTCTGTCTATTGAAAACACAAAAGAGTCGAAACGGAACAAGATAGCTAAAATATTTTGTCAAAATATTTTCAGTTGACCCAATTTGTTTGGTTTTGAAAATGGAAAATATCGGTCAACGATTTCACCTAGCCCCCATATTAGGCCCTACTCAGAAAATGACTATATTCCTAGTAACTGGCTTGAAAAAACATGTATAGCGATGAAATTCAACATAAACAAGTTTTATTGGAGACGAAATGTTTTTGTCAAAGTTTATAAGGATCTGCACAAAATTGGCACTATCACCCATATTAAGTCCTCTCAGAAAAATACTTTAAAGCTTATAATAAGCTAAAAAACTGCAATATAGCGTCAAAATTCACCATAATCAAGTTTTAATGGAACTAAAATCTCACTTTCAAATTTTATGAGAATCGGTACATAATTTACCCTAAATTATTCATAATTTGGTTATTTTTTATTCTAATTTTGGTTAAAAAAAATATTTATTGTGGCAACACTGGTTAACCAAATTTACTGTTTTTAGTGAATAAATATTTTTCGGGCGCTGATTTTTAGCCAATGGGAGCCGACAAAATCGGCGGCGGCGCGCTGCCGAATTTGAGCCGGTTGGCTTGTTTCTCTGTTGGCAACATAGGGTTTTCATATTTTTTGCGCCGTGATTTGTTTATATTTTTGTTTCGAAATCACAACAACCGCAACACAATAAAATTATAGTTCTAAAATACATTAATTAAAAGCCAAAATGCCATTTGCAACTTTTACTAAAGTACGAGAAGTGAGCAGTGAGGACAATGTAAGAATTGTATTCAAATATTTACACACGTCTTTTAAATATTTACTGACGTTCAATGATTTAAGGTTCATCTGGCTGAAAATTTGATTCAAATTCAACCAGGAAAGAAGTGGAAAACAAAAAACGCTGGAGAAAAGTCGGCATATGTAATTTTAGAAATGTCAGATTGCCAACAAATTACAGGAATTGATATTGGTAATGAACACTCAGCATTTGTTGAAGTTTTGGTTGGAAAATCCACTTGTGGTCCTCAGGACTTTAAAGTAAGTTATTTATAATAAATTATTATAAAATACTAGAATGTATGTACCTACAAATATTATGTTTAACAATTAAGCCATATTCTTTTAGGAAATCTTAATAACATGTTCTTTTATGACACCCACTGAGAGTAAAAGTTCAAATAACACAAATAGAGTGAGGTGTTTCAGTCGTGAAGCCTTGGTTCCTTCAGTTGCAGACAGTAAATGGTCACTTGTAAAAATAATTTGTACCCAACCTTTTAATAAGCATGTTCCGTATGGGCTTTCATTTATTAAAGTTCACATCACTGAAAATGAAAAGAAAACACCATGTATAACCCAAAACAAAAATGTTGTACCTGAGCAGTTCCTCAATAAGACTACTAGTATTATTGGTAAACTAAAATATAGAGAAGATTCTCCAGATTCAGAGAGTGAAAATACTTCAAGCCTTTTTAATCGGTGGAAAAAATCAAAGGAAAATGATGTTGAAACGACTACTGCTGCTGCAATAAGGACAGCTTCAAAAAGTCCCCTAACATTAATTTCTCGACGCCTTAGTGATGTCTCCAGACAAACTTCCCAAACTATAATGTCGGAAAAAATTCCCGATCGAAATCGGGACAAATTGCTATTTGGAGACGAAAATGATGATATAGACAATGCAAATGTGAAAAAACGGGAGCGTTTATCTGAAAAAATCGAGGCCGATAAGGAAAGACGGCGTTTAGAGAAGGAAAAGGAATTGAATAAAAATAAACGTAAATCAATAGACGTTACAAAATCATTAGAAATATCAAAGAATATGAATGATAAATTAGTGGAGCCATCATGCTCAAAAACCATTAGCATTAATAAAACTTCATCGGAAGCTATGAAAAAAAGACAAAGCTCTCCTCCAGAAAATCCAAAGAAAAAGATAAAACCTACAAAGAATTTTAGACCTTTTAATCAGCTGTTGAAAGGTGTAGTTTTGGTTATAAGCGGAATACAAAATCCAGACCGAGGAGACTTGAGAAATAAAGCAATAGCTTTGGGCGCAAAATACAAAGCTGACTGGGACAGCTCCTGTACACATTTGATGTAAATAAAAAATAATTATGATAATTGCAATAAAAATGTGTCTTTTCTTTTAGTTGCGCATTTAAAAATACACCCAAATACAATCAAGTTAGAGGTAAAGGAAAAATTGTTACACGCAGCTGGATTGAAAAGTGCTATAGTTTAAAGAAGTACTTGCCATGGAGAAGGTATGCTTTGGACAGTATAGAATTAGCCAAACCGGAAAGTGACGAAGAGATTTTTGACGACACTAAGGATCCTCAAACTGCTGTAGTCAATATTGATACATCAGTAGAGAAGTCTAAAGAAGGATGTGAAGACAGGAATAATACCCTGGCTTTATATGATATTGATGACCAAAAGAATACTAATAATTCTACTTTAAATAATAACGAATCGTCTTCGGAGAGTGATACTGATGATGAAATAAAACGAATAAAGCAAGGTAAGGTATAACATGAAATACATGTAAAGATAACGTAAATGTGTATATACACATACATACATACTTTCAGTGATCAACACTGTCGATAACAACGCAATGCCGAATTCAGTTAACATATTCGAAGCATCAACTGATGAGGAAGATTACATTACAGAAAAACTAAATCAAATAAAATAATTAAACGTTATTCTTGTAATTTAAACCTTTATGCAGGGTGTTTTTTACCATTAAAACGAACAATAAAAAAAATTATTTAAAAAATTATTTTAATGACAGGTTTTTTAGTATTAAATAATTTGTCAGCTTTCATTTCAACTTTTATTTAGTTTTGACACAAACTAATTTAAAATTGTTTGAAATAGGCACAAATTGTTTACATAACACTACGCGACAAAAATAAATACCTGGGAAGTGATACTATTTTTCTTCAGATCCACCTATCTGAGTAAAACAAGAAACTGTTTATGAAATTTCTCAAACACCTCCAAAATCTTGAGATATGGGTAAAAAAAAACAGTTTTTCTCATAGTAGAAAAATATTAGAAGGTACACTGAAAATAATCCATGCTTAACTTTACGAAAAACATTTCGTAACTACTTTTTTCGTAATATATACGAAAATTTCGTGTATAATACGAAATATTGTTTAATCAACCCCTTTTATAATTTTACGAAAGTACGAAAATCTGTCGTAATATCTTTTTTCGTATATATTAAGAAACATTGTTTTCTTTTACAAAAATAATTTCGTTAAAGCATGTAATATTTAACGAAAGTAACGAATTTTTTTCGTAAAAAAATTATTCAGTAATATACAAGAATTATTTTTGATTTCACAAAAAAAAATTATTTTGTTACGATTTTTTGTTTTGTCATTTTCGTAATTTTAAGCGAGTTAAATTAAACGTAATTTTAAATTTACGGGAAATTATATGCTTAATTTCCTGTAAAATTATTTATGTGTTTTTAAAAAACATAAAAAATTTGTTTTTTTTTTTTTCTAAATTTACAATAATTATTTTGAAAGAACTAACATATTTATGTCTTTAAAAAAAATCGTAAAATGAACAATTTTTTTTTCTAAAATTATATAAAATTATTTTGCATTTTACTAAAATATTTCGTACAATTTCGAATATATTACGAAAGAATTTCGTGGTGCGAAACCACAAAGCATTTCGTACAATGTACGACATTTTTCGTGTATATTATGCATGGATTATTTTCAGTGTAGTTTCGATTTGATATTTTTGACGAGAATGGAGATTTTTGAAGTTTATTTTATTTGTAAACTAGCTATACCCAGTGTGCTTTGCTACCCTAAAAGCAATATAAATAATAAATCTTCTTAATAATTTTGCAAATTCTAACTGTAATGCTTTCCAGAGATATATTTTTTCCGAACGTTAATTAAGATTTTAATGTAATCGATGACAAATTAAAAAAAAAAAATCTAATATTTTCCCAGATATACGAAATTTTGTATTTCTTCAATTAATATTTGAAGATTGTAGCTCTAATAGTTTCTCAGATATAATAATTTTCCTATTTAATTTATATGGGGGCTCCAAGCTCCCCATGACGAAAGTCGAAAGTCGGAAAGTTCTTAGTGCAAAATTTGAAGAATTTAGTTCTATTAGTTTCCCAGATAAACCAATTTTTGTATTTTATTAATATGGGAGGTACTGCTCCCCTCATGGATAGTCCGCCAATTTATTTCCCAAAATGTTTACATGGATGTTAAAGTTACTCGTGGAAATTTTTAATATTCTAACTATAGTTTCCAAGATAAACGAATTTTTGTATTTAATTTATATGGGAGGTGCCACGACCCCTAATGCTAATCCGCCCACTTTTTGTCTTAAATAATTATTTTGATACTAAAGTTGCTCCGACAAAATCTGAAGACTCTAACTATTATATTATCTCAGACTAGCTATACCCAGTGTGCTTCGCTACCCTCATCGTAATGGAATAAAATAAATATTATTGTAAATGTATATATATCTGCAATATCAAAAAGTCCCCTATTTAAATTTATGTTTATATATTCAATATTTTAGAAAACTCAAAAAGTACCAATGAAGTACGAAAAAGTAACAAAAGACCTCTTTTATTTAATTTCATGTTCCTAAGTTCAATATTATAGAAAATTAAAAAAGTACCAGTTGAAGAACGAAAAATTACCAAAGGGTCCCCTTTTATAGATTCTCATTAACTCCGGGCTCCACATGGTTAATTTCATGTTATAAAAAACACAAAAAGTACCTTTTGAAGAACGAAAAATTACCAAAAAGTCCTCTTTTATATGTTCTCACTTACTCCGGGCTCTACGTACTTAATTTCATGTTTCTAGGTTCAATATAATAGAAAATTCAAAAAGTACCTTTTGAAGAACGAAAAAGTGCCGAAAAGTCCCCTTTTATAGGTTATCACTTAATCTTGGCTGTACTTGCTTAATTTCATGTTTCTAGGTTCAATATTATAGAAAATTCAAAAAGTACCTTTTGAAGAACGAAAAAGTACCAAAAAGTCCCCTTTTATAGATTCTCATTTACTACGGGCTCTAAATGCTTATTTTCATGTTTCTAGGTTCAATTTAATAGAAAACTCAAAAAGTACCAGTCGAAAGACGAAAAAGTACCAAAAAGTCCCCTTTTATAGATTCTCATTTACTCCGGGCTCTACATGCTTAATTTCATGTTTCTAGGTTAAATTTTATAGAAAACTCAAAAAGTACCAGTCGAAGGACGAAAAAGTACCAAAAAGTCCCCTTTTATAGATTCTCATTTACTCCGGGCTCTACATGCTTAATTTCATGTTTCTAGGTTAAATTTTATAGAAAACTCAAAAAGTACCAGTCGAAAGACGAAAAAGTACCAAAAAGTCCCCTTTTATAGATTCTCATTTACTAAGGGCTCTACATGCTTAATTTCATGTTTCTAGGTTAAATTTTATAGAAAACTCAAAAAGTACCAGTCGAAGGACGAAAAAGTACCAAAAAGTCCCCTTTTATAGATTCTCATTTACTAAGGGCTCTACATGCTTAATTTCATGTTTCTAGGTTAAATTTTATAGAAAACTCAAAAAGTACCAGTCGAAAGACGAAAAAGTTCCAAAAAGTCCCCTTTTATAGATTCTCATTTACTCCGGACTCTACATGCTTAATTTCATGTTTCTAGGTTAAATTTTATAGAAAACTCAAAAAATATCAGTCGAAAGACGAAAAAGTGCCAAAAAGTCCCCTTTTATAGATTCTCATTTACTAAGGGCTCTACATGCTTAATTTCATGTTTCTAGGTTAAATTTTATAGAAAACTCAAAAAGTACCAGTCGAAGGACGAAAAAGTACCAAATAGTCCCCTTTTATAGATTCTCATTTACTAAGGGCTCTACATGCTTAATTTTATGTTTCTAGGTTAAATTTTATAGAAAACTCAAAAAGTACCAGTCGAGGGACGAAAAAGTACCAAAAAGTCCCCTTTTATAGATTCTCATTAACTAAGGCCTCCGCATGCTTAATTTCATGTTTCTAGGTTAAATTTTATAGAAAACTCAAAAAGTACCAGTCGAAGGACGAAAAAGTACCAAAACGTCCCCTATTATAGATTCTCATTTACTCTGGGCTCTACATGCTTAATTTCATGTTTCTAGGTTAAATTTTATAGAAAACTCAAAAAGTACCAGTCGAAGGACGAAAAAGTACCAAAAAGTCCCCTTTTATAGATTCTCATTTACTCTGGGCTATACATGCTTAAATTCATGTTTCTAGGTTAAATTTTATAGAAAACTCAAAAAGTACCAGTCGAAAGACGAAAAAGTTCCAAAAAGTCCCCTTTTATAGATTCTCATTTACTCCGGGCTCTACATGCTTAATTTCATGTTTCTAGGTTAAATTTTATAGAAAACTCAAAAAGTATCAGTCGAAAGACCAAAAAGTACCAAAAAGTCCCCTTTTATAGATTCTCATTTACTAAGGGCTCTACATGCTTAATTTCATGTTTCTAGGTTAAATTTTATAGAAAACTCAAAAAGTACCAGTCGAAGGACGAAAAAGTACCAAATAGTCCCCTTTTATAGATTCTCATTTACTAAGGGCTCTACATGCTTAATTTTATGTTTCTAGGTTAAATTTTATAGAAAACTCAAAAAGTACCAGTCGAAGGACGAAAAAGTACCAAAAAGTCCCCTTTTATAGATTCTCATTAACTAAGGCCTCCACATGCTTAATTTCATGTTTCTAGGTTAAATTTTATAGAAAACTCAAAAAGTACCAGTCGAAGGACGAAAAAGTACCAAAAAGTCCCCTTTTATAGATTCTCATTTACTCCGGTCTCTACATGTTTAATTTCATGTTTCTAGGTTCAATATTATAGAAAATTCAAAAAGTACCTTTTGAAGAACGAAAAAGTACCAAAAAGTCCCATTTTATAGATTCTCATTTACTCCGAGCTCTACATGCTTAATTTCATGTTTCTAGGTTTAATTTTAAAGAAAACTCAAAAAAGTACCTGTGTAGAACGAAAAAGTAGCGAAAAGTCCTTTTATTATTAATTTCATGTTTCTATTTCAATGTCATAGAAAACTCAAAAAGGACCAGTTGGAGAATGAAAAGTACCAAAAAATATCACTTGATACCGGGGTTCCAAATAACACCCCATTAGGATATTTAGTGTTTCTAAATTTAAAAATTTTATCTAAATTGGATCATTGTGGTTGAATAAAATCAAATTTCCCGTTTTTACCCCTTTTGGTACTTTTTTTCCTCCCCATTAACGAAATAAAAATTCTATTCCAAAAAGTTGCAACATCGTAGTGGGAGCCCGTTACTATGTATTCATATGTATAAGTTAATAAACCAAAAACAATGTTTTATGAAAAAAGTACCAAAAATAGGTACAATTTTAGCCCCTTAAACGTCCGTATATCCAAAAAGTACTAAATTCATATTTTTATTTTTTCGTTAAGTTATGAAGGAGTCAAAAATGTTTTTTGAATGTGCACTGGTTTAAAAGATACATGGGGTGCGAAAAAAGTACCAAAATACAGTTTTTACCCGTTTATTCCCTAAATGGGCCGAATTTTAAAAAAGTACCAGACACCTGTCCGTTTATTTTTTAAATGAACGGCGATAAGCTTTAAACTGTTTTTGTATCTTTTCTAGTTTAGGAGATATAAGGTTACCGAATTTACCCGTTTTTACCCTTTTTTACCCCCTAAACATTCGAATTTCCAAAAATCCCGTCTTAGTGGATCTA